AAAACAGCTTCTTTTCATTAGTTTCATTAACAGAGATGTTTTGAAATATAATCACTAGACGCAGTTTTCACGCTGTATCTGGCGGTTACATTTCAAAACATCTCTGTTAATGAAACTAATGAAAAGAAGCTGTTTTTATTGAAAAATCGCGTATTTTCCTCTCAAACGAAAAAAATGAGTTTTTTAACATTTTTTAGCGTTTTCCAAGTGGTTTTTTAATTTTTTCATCTCAGAAAAGTGACTTCAAAAATTTTTAATATATACAGTTTTGTAGAGCTCGACGAGCTCTATCGAACCATGTAAACCTGTTAAAGGAAAATACTAAAATCCATTTTTGAATCACTGACGCCTTAGTTTTCTGTCCCAAAAAAATGCATAAAATTTCTCGAGTTCGAGATCAAAAAGTTTTGATAATCCTTACAATTTAGTATCAAAAAATCCCATTTTCGACGCGCTTTAATTTGGTATAAAAATAGTTATGTATGCTATTTGAAATTATAGTGTTACCCCCTGGAAAAACATTTTTACGCACCCTGTATTTGTAGAGATGTATTTAAAAAAATGCTTAACCTCTGAAAAAACTTGCTTTAATTGGCCAAAAAGTATATTTGAGCTCAAGTCGAGTGGAGTCACCAAAAAAAATGTAGTTCTCTTGTCGGATCGGATCGAATTGGATTATGTCATGATGAAGTCGAATCAGAAAATTTTTGACATATGTCGGACTCTAATCGATAGGTTGATTTTGATTTTCCTCACTTCTCCGTCGATAGTCACATCGACAATATCTTCTATCATTCTTATTGCATGTGATCATTTGTTCGTCTTTTTTCTCACGATTAGATAAAAATTAAACATTACCAACAGTTGTAGCTGCTTGAATAATACCACGCATGTATTCCTTCTCCAAACGTTCATTCATTTTAAAATATTTTGCACCACCAAAAATGCTTATTATTAAATTTGGCTTTTTGTTGCGATCTTTGTGTATCAAGTTGTAAAGTTTTTCTGCCGGTGCTTCGATATCACAACGAATAAACTAAACGAAAAGAAAAATTTTCGTCTATGAACGGGAAATATATTCTTTTTACTTTAGTTAAGCATAATGCATACGAATTGTACAAAATACCAAAATTTTTCATATCTTCTATCTGTTCTGAACAAGATTCAGAATTCCAATTATCATTACTTTGTGATTTGGGTTGACCTTCGTAACTGTGCGACCTTTTCAAACGACCACAGCCACATTTGTCGTTTTGTTGTTGTTGAAGTGGTACTTGTTGCAATTGTTGTTGTTTACTAAACAGGGCACAAGTAGAACGATGATTCAAACCCAATTCTAATATGCTAGCACGCCACTTTTCATATGAGGTTTTATGAGACGACATCTACAAGTAACTTTCCAAAAAAAAGAATATATATAGATTGGAAATTTGTAGAATCAAAACTACAAAATCAAATTTATATTTTGTCTCAAAGCATGAAACTTAGGTTCGAATTTCATTCATTTTCCAAGCATATAAAACTACCTTGAAGGGAAAACAGTACAAAGAAAAATCAGAAGGTTTTAATAAACAATTGTCTTTATTCAAATTCAACAGTTAGGTCCAACAAAAGTAATTTTATATGTGAATAGATCTTGTTTGGATGCATATAGCCACATTGGCCTTTTTCTGCTCAAAATGTAATTGGACACGAGTTAGCAAACAATTGGATTCGAACATGTGTTTTTATAAGTACATTCACTACTGTGAGCATGCGCCATCCTCAATCGCTACTTGCAACGAGAGCCGAGTAAAAACTGGCATCTGAAGTTGAGACTCACTTATCACAGCGATTCTATCTATCCTATTGACTCATCCAGATAGTTGCATTATGGTTTTGGCGAAAATTCATTTCTTGCGCTTAATTATGTTCATTGTCATTGTTATAGTAACAAAACTACAATGCATAACGTCAGCGCGATCATTAATTCATACACTAACACCACGAAAAGGCAAAGGGGCGACATTGACAAATTCATTTTGCTTATGATAAGTAAATCCTTGGACGTTTGAGGAAGTGTATCTTTCTAGTTAAAATAAATAGAAAACTTAAGTTTTTGATTTATGCTTCCCATAATTATCGTATTTTCTGAACAAGATATTCGTTATTTCGACTGCTACAAAGTGGACTCGATGCAGAATTTCACGATGGATCTTGTGATAATAGAACAAGATCCATTAAGAAGGGTCTAGGCTACGTATAGAGAAAATATTGACAATCGATCAGGAAATAAATCAGTGAAATGGAATATGATACTCTTTTCTTATTATAAGAATTTATTTCATCTAAAAACTATGACCGTATGTTATCCATATTGTTCAATACTTCGGAAAAAAATTTTAACTTAATTGACTGTTATTTCGAGCTGTGATGATCAAGACATGAATATAAGTTTGTTTTTACATATGGGCACTCTTGTCCATTCTTTTCTAATGTTTCGGCAAAGGGAAATCACTTTTTGAGGTTGTGATCCTTTCTAGTAGCTCTGAGAAAGGTTTCAAAATTATATCATTTTCGATTTTTTAAAACCGACATATCAGACGTCGCATTCATCCAAAAGCTGTTATGAAGAGTGTATGAGCAAGTATTGTCTATCGATTTAGATTTTTTTACGTCTAATTTGGCTGATTCGTAGTTCAGATTGAAGTACAAGTAGTTCAAAAGTCACGTTACCGAAAAAGGTCGAATATCTCCATTACGACTTGAGCAAACAAGCTGTGTTTTTAGCAGTGATAGAGACACGTTCAAGCATTGTATTAATAAAGAGAAGGCTAACGAGACCCTTTGTTAAGTATCAGCACTGATGTCAACACAAAAATTTTACTTTTTCACGGATGGAAAAAAACAATATGCTTAACAAAGAGTCTCACTAGGCTTGTCTTTACGGATGTAAAGCTTGAACATGCCTCTATCATTGACAAAAATATCAGCTCGTTTGCTGGAGCCGTAATGAGGATATTCATTTTTTTTTCGATAACCTGACATTTGGGACATCCTGTAAAAGTGTTAATGATCGTTTTCATATGAGACCCAACACATCTATAACATTATATTATGATTTTCGGCCTGTACCAATATGAAAGAGCAGAGGATCATAATACCAGAATATTTCAATTCAATATTTTGAATTTCCAAGTCTCAATCACAGACATATTTCACCAATTTATATACCCACTTCTGTAGAGTTCATCAAAAGCTATCGAACATATTATTTAAGTTTGATGCCTGACAGAACTGTGGTACTGTACGTAGACCTTATATTAGAAAATAAGATCAAGACAGAGTCAGAGGTGCTGAATCTTCCTTATGCGCCGCCCGCGCGAGGAGGAAATTTTTTGAAAAATTGCCTTAGCCAGGGGAATTTTCGAAATCTGTTATAACGAAAAAATTTTGAAAATAGTTATACGGGGAATTCTTGAAACAACGCTTTGATGAAAAACATTGTTTTCTTCATAATTAATCATGAATTCTTATATGATGCACTGTCGCTCCATTTAGCAGATCCGTTCATAAAATACTCTCTCTCTCGACAACTACTTCTTGCCACTGTAGGACAAACATTGGATTTTCTTAAAAAAACAGAATAGTCCTGTGCGTTCAAATTAGTGTCACCTGGTTCGG